GGGTTGGTTCGCTCCCAGAAATCCCTACCTAATGCTGATCTTTTCTGGCCATCTGATCTTGAGTTTTCAGCAACGACAGCTGTTGATCAGGGTCTATAGTTTGTTTGAGGCGCTTTCCATGATGCGCCAAGTCTCTGATCCATAAAGTAGCACTGACTTCATATTATATGAAGTAATAACAGGTGTTAACTGACACTTGGGATAGGTGAGCAGTTTCGGGGCCGAGTAATAGTGTTGTTCGATAATAAGAACAGTTGACTGAAAATAACTGAATCAGTTTTGAGCATGCTGCTACTTTTCAGCAAGATATATTCCAAATTTAAGAGAAACAAATAAGAAGAATTATCCCACCTGCTCAGAGCCGTGTGATGGCAAATAACAGCGTCATACAGAAGATAAAGTTTCTAAAGGCACATACCATAATGACACTAAGAATCTTTTTGTACCTAGCGGTGAAACTATTATCAACTGGCATACAAATTTTCGAAACTAATTAGAGGTTGTGTTAACTTCAAATAGGTACAAAATTGTCTTTTTTCAGAATTAAGTATGACATAATCTGCATGCTGAAATACCGAATCAAATATCATAGCAATGTTTACGCACAACCAGCATTTGATAAAATGATGTCTAGTACATAGAAAAATAGAAATCTATAAAATCGCCTATTCGAATCATTAACAGGGACTCTTAATAATTAGCTAAAAATGCATCATTCGGACATTGATAACTGATAAACAAACTCAGTCAACATCAATAAAATATGTTACACTGTAATATGAATTGTATGTATATAATGTATATGCTAAGATATAGGCTGTCAGTATAAGAAGTGTATTTGGAAGATTCAAAATATAACTTAAAATTTACTTTTTTTTTCTCAGAGGAAAACAGTAAGACATCAAACAATTTAAAAAGCTCTGTGTCGGCAAGACTGCGGTAACTTACTCAATTTCTTTTTCACTTCGTTAGTTCTTTATTACACAGAATTAAGTGTTATCTAAAGTTTGAATGAATGGAATTCACATAATATCCTATCTGCTTCAGTGCACAAAACAATAATAAATGTCATCAAATTGAACATTCTATTGATGATGTTTGGCAGAGACGCGTTTCAAGGTATTTTCAAAATAAAACATTCTAATGGTTACAGATGAAGTTTATTTGAAATAACATAGAAACAAGATTATTTAAATTAATCCCAGCGTGTTTAAGAAAATCAAAACCAGATTTTTCTGAACTTTTCGCTGTGTAAGCCACAGGTTCTTCAGCAGAGTAATTCGGATTTCATTAAGAAGTGTGCTGACATCCTGTGTTACCCATTAACCGACACTTTCAATGAATCTTTTTCCAAAAGTATTATTCCTGACTCATGGAAAAATATCAAGGTTGTTCCAGTGCCTAAATCAACAAGTGGACCTACTGTTAAGTTTCGACCGATTGCTATTACCTCACCTTTTTTAAAAGTTATGGAAAGACTTATTTTACTTAATCTTGAACCCTCTTTAAAGCCTTTTAATGACCCCAACCAGTTTGCCTATAAACATAGTAGGTGTACCTTAGATGCCGCTGTAGTTCTATATCATAATATAGTCTCTAGTTTAGATGGAGGAGCCAAATATGTTCGGTGTGCCTTCCTTGACTACACATCTGCATTTGACTCTGTTCCTAGGTCTCTCTTGCTAAGTAAGCTTGCTGCAAGACAGAGTGAGAGCTAGAAAAATAAGTGGTCGCATTCCTATTTTTCTGATAGGAAGCAGTACACTGTCTACAATGGCAAATCCTCCACTACCTCACTTACTTTAGCTGGTGTTCCTCAAGATGCTGTTCTTTCTCCTTTACTGTTTTCTTTTTTCTTACATGACTTGCCCCATTCTGATGTAGCCACTTTTGTCAAGTGTGCTGATGACCTCTCAGTCTCCATGCCTGTCAAATCTCAGTCAGACTGTTCCAAATTAAATAACTTTCTCTCGGAAATTAGTCAGTGGTCCTCTTCAAACGGTCTTAAGCTGAATCCGTCTGAATGTCAGGTAGTAAATTTCACTTTCAGACGAAAACGTAACCTACAACAACTAGCTAGCTCACATGGTCCCATTATCATTGACGGCATAGAGGTTGAAACTACATCTAATGTCAAGTACCTTGGACTGAATATTTCCTCCAATCTTTCCTGGTCCTCTCACATCTTGCTAGTTACTAGAAAGATGTTTCGCTTAACGCTCTACGTTAGAAAGTTAAGGCAGTCTAGTATAAAGCAGTCTTTGCTTTTCTAGTTTGTCAGCTCTTGTATTCTAACCATCCCACTTTACTGCTCCCCATTAATCTTTCCTGGATTACTTAAGGAAGACTTTGCTTTGCTGCGTAGGGCACTAAAAGCTGTTAGTAGGGGAAGTGGGATTTCGTTAAACCAACTGGTTAACACCACTGTGGATAGACATATAATGTCATGTAAGAAACTAGCGAATTCTATATTGTCTGACCCCGAACACCCTCTCTATACGCACCTCTCTCCTTGCATTTCATCTGGTAGAACTAGGAGCAACTATAGGAGGCTATATGCCAGGACTGCCAAGTACAAAACTCCACAATACCTTTTCTTGCACAGCTGTTATGTGATGAGAAATCCGTTAGGTATGACACGATCAACCTACTACGGCACTATAACAAATAGTTCCCATTAGCTTTTGTTCTCCTTTCTTTGTTACTATTATATTGTTGCTCACATATTCTATCACACACTAATTTTATATTTCATATCCTGTGGTGCATTGTTTAAAATGTGAATGCAATGCTGTTCTTTTTTATTTCTTTTATTTCTCTTTTTTTCTTTTTGTTGTTTGTGCTTTTATTTTTAAAGTCTTATAAAAATTTATGAGGTAATTAGATGCAATATTGTAATGCACGCTGAAAATTCCATACCTGTACCACAAATACTGTTTGGAATAAAGCTATTATTATTATTAATCATCAAAAAAATATAGAAAACTATTGACCGAATTATTCTACTGAAGAACCTGTGGCTTACACAGTGAAACGTTCAGAAAAATCTTGTTTTGATTTCCTTAAACACGCTGGGATTAATTTAAATAATTTATAATGGATCAATCTGACTCGGCGCTCAAATTACTACAGGAAGTTCGTAACACCTACAGTGTGGAAACTTACAAGAAACAAGATTAGTTTGGATATATATTTGAGAGTATTGTCGGTATTAAGTGACGTCGGAAGTACCAGTACGAATCGGTCCAATTCAAAAATGCCATCGTATAGTTTACAAAGAAAAACAACTAAGACAACGACGGTTTGCAAAATAGCCAAAAAACCCACTGACCTCTTTATTTCTCATAATCGCCAATGAGAATATTAAATTAAATATGTAACTTAATGCAATTAATCTCAAGGCCAAGAGTTCTTCAAACTAACCCTAGTAATAGGACATAAAGCAGTAAGCAAACGCATGCTAAATGCACAGGTAGAATTATGTGCTTCATTTGTCACTAGTTCTTTAAAAAGGTACTGAAATTACTTTTGAATCAAGACTATTTGTAAACACAGGTCATTCTGCTAACCAAATTGTAGATTTTAATAGTGCCTTTCCCACTACAAACGGCATGCACTTACTAAAATGTTGTTTATTTTAAAAAATGGTAGGTGTTTCTCCTTACACAGAACTGTGAGAACCTGGTAGTTTACATTTATTGCGAAGCAGAACAAATATGCTATGATTAATACAATTAAGTTATTATTTTACGGAATGGGGAACAAATTCGAAAAACTTTTGCGTATCCAAAAATTACTACTATGTCCAACTTTCCTACACAGATTATTTTTATCTAGAGAAAACCTGTCGCAACCTAATGTAGAGATATCTTGTGTATCTTTCGAAAGTGAAGTTTACAGAATTTAATACAAAACTGAATTAGCATCTAGGTTATCAAATTTTGTTTTGAAAAGTGTCAGTAGACAGTTCAACCAATACATTCAACTTATTGGCTGGAGGATTTCATGATAAGCCGACATCAATTAGAGAACTATTGAAAAACCTGAAAGAACTGGACAGCCCTAGTTTGGGACTCTTCAGCAACTGGCACCCATCACCAGGGTTCTATCCCAGGACCTTCTGGTCACAAGGTAAGCTTGTAGACCATTGAGCCACTGGGACCCAATCCAACTGCTCGTGAATTTTAACTTCTTCCAATTCGTGACAAAGCGCAACCACTCCGCAATGTCTTCTTAGATGAGTTACTTCCTCACTTTTAACTTGCTGCGTCCTACTAGTCATGGCTTTCCACTAGAACTCCAGCTCGCCTTGTAACTAGAAGGTCCCGAGTTTGAACCCTGGTGGTGGGTGCGTAATGTGAAGAGTCCTGAACTTGGACGAAACGGTTGTCCAGTACTCCCAGGCTTTCTACTGGCTCTCTAATTGATGTTGGGTCATGATGAAATCCTCCAACCAATCAAACAAAATCCCTACAAAAACCAATACTTAAACATTCAACATATATTTGTTTTACTTTAAATAAAGCATCTATTTTTACTCAAAACATGGGAAATTTTTAGGGGTAGCGCGAAGAAACGTGTGCCATTTTATGGGTGTCTTCAATATTTAACTTTGTAAGAAGCGTAAATCAGATGGAACTGGAAACGAATATTGTCGTCTTAGCCTAGAAATAGCCTCTCACTCTTCACATGAAAAAGCCATTTAGTTATTTATTAGAATATGTCAACTTCAAATAAGAAACCTTCTGCTGAACATAAGGAGAGGATGTATGGCTTAATTTGGTATTTTGGCTGTTTCTGAGTTGTTAGGGCTGGATGGTATAATTTGTTTCGCATTTATTGTAGTTCTAATTCGCCTAGTCAGATAATGACAGCTACACAAATAACTGATGAAGCTCATATAAGATAGAAACACCGGAAAAGAACCATAAATAATTGTAAAATGTCAGTCGAATGCTGAAGTAATTTACGGTATACATTTTAGACTAAACTGAACTCACTTTCTTTTCATGTGATTGAATAGCATTCTTGATTGTATTCACAGGATTGCCTCGTTCGTGTGACTTTGTATTTAATGTACCACCTAGGAGACAATGTAGTTCATCTGATGTTCGACACAGGTCAACACAGCTAATTGCAAAATCCATGCATTTGACAGCCAACTCAGAATATTCTTCCTATAGAGGCAGTAAAAAATTTGTCATTTTTAAGTGAACTGTGCACAATACTTTTGTCAATCCTAATCAGAACAAGATATATTTAAACAGATAACTGCTTTGGTTAGCCTTTTTTAGCAGCTACATTCATGATACTGTGGCCAGCAGAAGGCACTGATTAAGATTTCATTCGTGAAAGTAGGTTTACACTTAAGAAATTAACTTCTATCTAGCTTATTATTTATATTCAGATTACAATGAAAATCTTGGTCATTGGGATGACGTTAAAAGCACAGCTATGAACCATTCATTCGCATAAAAGCTTAGGAAAAATGGTTAGTGCTTACAAGGAAATTGAAACTGAGGTAGCTACTGTGTATTACGTCTCAGCCATGTCTCAGATCATCACTGATGGTATAAAATATGTTGCTGGGCTATTCAAATACACTTAAACAATTGTGTTCTACGTCTTCTGAATGACTTAGAAAAGTGTTTTATACCATCAGACATAGATTATCAAGTAGTTAATTCGGTGTATGATTCGGATAGCCCCGTGACTTACCACATTTCCATAGCGTTGTAACTAAACTGTTATATAACTGTAGATAAATTTCATATAGCATAGGAATCGTTAAAATACTAACCAAGATTTCACTAGACCTGAAGATAGTAGGAACATATACGTAAATCTAGATGCACTGTTTTGTAAATTTCATGATAAAAGCAGTTATAGATCTTGACGGATGATTAATGATCACCAGTGGTATTGGGGCATGTGTGATTAGGATACAACCAACAGTAAAGGCCAACTTAATTAAGCAGGAGAAAGGTAATGTAAAACAGTAGCTTAGTGGTAACGTCTCTGACTGCAGCACTGGCTGATGCGGGTTGGAATCTCAGAAGGGACATGAGTTCCTTTAAGGTTGCAGATACGCCTCGCTGATGAGTTTCAACTAGCCCGAAATATAGGTCCAAGGCTTCCTGCCAATTACCTCCAAATATTTAATATCACCGTCATGGCAAGCTACCTAGAATGGTGGCCACATTGCAAACCTGACTGATAGAATTCAGTCTGCACCAAAGAAAGAACTAGACACATCGCACTAGTTACTAGTGTCCAATCAAACAATAGGATTAAATGATGACCATGTAAATTGGAGGGTGAGTGCTTTATCCTGTTAAAACGAACAGTAATGTTATAAGTAAAACCTTTATTGTATAAGCTGTGGTTATAGCTGCTTTAACGAATTACATAGTATTGAGTTTATAATAGAAGAGTTACCTAATTTTACTATACTAGTCCCCATCTTCTGGGTAAACCAGCCAGGCTAATAGTATTCCTGGTTACCTACATTTTCAGGGGTGTTTGTGGATTTATTTCTCTTTATGTGCTTTATATAGACACTTAGGTAAACAGTTATCACAACATACATGTGTCTATGATGCCACTGTGGATATATTTATCTTAATAGGAGGAGCGCAGAAATAAAATCTATTATTTCATGGATTATATATGACACCATTTATATGTATTTATGGTTTGTTAAAATCCCTTATAGGAACACATATTTTAACCGTCTACTACTAAGCTTTCTGCAACACAGAGTGAGAGCTGGACAAATAAGTGGTTGCATTCCTATTTTTCTGATAGGAAGCAGTACACTGTCTACAATGGAAAGTCCTCCACTTCCTCACTTACTTTAGCTGGTGTTCCTCAAGATGCTGTTCTTTCTCCTTTACTGTTTTCTTTTTTCTTACATGACTTGCCCCATTCTGATGTAGCCACTTTTGTCAAGTGTGCTGATGACCTCTCAGTCTCCATGCCTGTCAAATCTCAGTCAGACTGTTCCAAATTAAATAACTTTCTCTCGGAAATTAGTCAGTGGTCCTCTTCAAACGGTCTTAAGCTGAATCCGTCTGAATGTCAGGTAGTAAATTTCACTTTCAGACGAAAACGTGACCTACAACAACTAGCTAGCTCACATGGTCCCACTATCATTGACGGCATAGAAGTTGAAACTACATCTAATGTCAAGTACCTTGGACTGAGTATTTCCTCCGATCTTTCCTGGTCCTCTCACATCTTGCTAGTTACTAGAAAGATGTTTCGCTTAACGCTCTACGTTAGGAAGTTAAGGCATTTTGGTATAAGGCAGTCTTTGCTTTCTCAGTTTTTCAGTTCTTGTATTCTACCCATCCCTCTTTACTGCTCCCCATTAATCTTTCCTGGATTACTTAAGGAAGACTTTGCTTTGCTGCGTAGGGCACTAAAAGCTGTTAGTAGGGGAAGTGGGATTTCGTTAAACCAACTGGTTAACACCACTGTGGATAGACATATAATGTCATGTAAGAAACTAGGGAATACTATATTGTCAGACCCCGAACACCCTCTCTATACGCAGCTCTCTCCTTGCATTTCATCTGGTAGAACTAGAAGCAACTATAGGAGGCTATATGCCGGGACTACCAAGTACAAAAACTCCACAATACCTTATCTGACACGGCTGTTATGTGATGAGAAATCCGTTAGGTATGACACGATCACCTTACTGTGGTACTCTAACAAATAGTTCCCTTTAGCTTTTGTTCTCCTTTCTTTGTTACTATTATATTGTTGCTCACATATTCTATTACACACTAATTTTATATTTCATATCCTGTGGTGCATTGTTTAAATATGTGAATGCAACGCTGTTCTTTTTTATTTCTTTTATTTCTCTTGTTTTCTTTTTGTTGTTGTTGCCTTTTATTTTTAAAATCTTATAAAAATTTATTGGTAATTAGATGCAATATCGTAATGCACGCTGAAAATTCCATACATGTACCCCAAATACTGTTTGGAACAAAGCTATTACTATTATTATTTAGAAAGTATGCATTGTCTTCATATTCTACAATTTAGGGAAATTTTATGTTTGAATGCACCGTAGTGGAGAAATTTTATAGGTTCGTGTTGTTCAGTGTTCTTTTCACACTTTCTTAGTTATGCCACAAGAAAATTACCTGCAAATAAATATTATTTTCCATTTATATCTAACAAAATCTCAAAAAGATAATTTCTATGTCACTATCGCATATACTGATAGCTCATTAACATTTTCTTTGCTCACTAGATTTACTTAAATAGATCTTTTGATGTTATTAATGCTGGAATATCGGCAGCAGATGAGATTATTATTATTGTTACCTCTAGTTCCTAGAGGAACATAGGGCTTCAGTCACACGTCTCCACTGCGTTCGGTTCTCCAACAACGTTTTCACCTGGCTCCAGGTCTGTCCACATGCTTTCATCATCTCTTCACATGACTTCCTCCATGTCACCCTCACACTGACGACCAACTCGGCGCTTCCCTTTCGGGTTACACTCGAGCGATGACCTGGCGTGTGATGTCACTCACTTGATGGTTTTCTCAGAGTATGACCAATTCACCTCCATTTCTTCCTGCATATTTGTTGCACAATCGGTTCCTGCTGGGTTGGTTCGTTCATTGCTAGAGATCCCTGTTGCTGATCTTTTCTGGCTGGCCATCTGATCTTGAGTGAAGTATTGAGCGAAGACAGTTGTTGATGATGGTCTGTAGTTTGTTTGAAATGGCCTTCGTGACGCGGCGCGAAGTCTTTGATCCATAAAGTAGCACTGACTCCACAGTGGAGTTGTAAATCCGCATCTTCTTTTTCAAGCTGAGGACTACTGATCTCCACCCAGAAGTGAGAGTAATGAGAGCTTCTCTTGTTTTCCCGATCCTCACTTTGATATACTCATCAGTTCCGCCCGCCTGTAGTTGAAACGATGCTTCCCATTTCGGTAGGTAAAGGAGGCTGCTACTTTGAGATTTCTCCCATTCATTCTGGCTGATTGTTGTCTGTCTTTGTTGTTGCTGTTGCGGTTGACCAGGAATCTTCATAACCTCTGTTCTCTTTATGTTCACCTGAAGCCCTGTCTTCCCTGGATGCTTCTTCTGCCAACTTGCTGCTTTTCACTTGCATATCTTCCACTTTGTGGGAAATCAGACAAATATCATCGGCGAAGTCCAGATCATCCAAGTGTTTTGCGTAGGTCCATTTTATGCCTGTTTCCTCGCTGCCCGCTGTCTGTTGCATCATCCAGTCTACCGCAATCAGGAAATTAATCACTGAAGATAATAGACAGCCAGCTTGTCTTATTCCTGTCCTCACTTCGAAGGATTCCATGAGTTTCCCGCTGCGGATTACTTGGCATGCAGCAGCAGATGAGAAAATAAACATAATCAAAATGTCTCAAAAAAGAGAAAACACAACAATGATACCAGCTTTGATTACCTTCAATTGCTATTTCGCTGAAAGTAGAGGGTATCAGTGAAAAAAGACTTCTGTAACAAACGATGCGTCTTTATTAATCACAGGTAGGTGACATTACATAACAGTGTCAAACAGCATATACTACTTTCTTACGTAGAGCATAGATTTTTAATAAAACTGATAATGTTTTTGATTTTTTTATTTGGTTTCAGGTCATCCATCAGTTTTAAATAGCAAGAAGGACACTGTGATAGATCAGAGTAAATGAATACAGTCAGTTTATAAGTGGACATATTTAAAGTAGTGAAGAAGTGAAGGCATTCCTTTATTTCTAAATTCAACATTGATTGTAATATTGTTCTTGTGAGGGACGTTGTCTCAGTCCTTTATTTTATCCTCTAGAGATATGATAATATTATGGGATCACGTTTGAATAGTCAATACTCATTACTTCAGTGTGTGCGATTTCTTGGTAATTCATTAATTTCAATACAAATTTCAACACAGATTTACTGTGATAGAAGACCATCATTATTATTCACTTGAATTCCAAGCGGTACAGAAGGTTTCGGTAGCATATTTCTCTCTCATTCCATTTTCTGTAGTTTTCTTTCCAGCGGGAACCACTATCGCTCAAAAGCATTGATCTTCTCAGTAAAATATCTTCTCCACATTACCCATGGGCGTTCAAATCACTACTGCTGATTCGGATTACATCAGTGGGCACGTCTGGCGCTTGGTGATACACAGCGGTCTTCCAGAGCATGTCACATAGATCTCCAGATCCTCTATGGTCTTCTGGTATGCTCGACACAAGTGCGCCGTCCCGCTCCTCAGTCACGATCTGCGATATGATTCAGTTCGCCGCATTCAGGAACATCATTAGTTATAGTAGACAAACTTGTGGTACTCAAGTCTTCACATTAAAGTCATCGTAAAGTTTGCCGTTGTGAATCGCTTGACATCTACCACCATCATCTAAGAGTTCAATGAGATTGGTAGCAATTCAACCCACTCCATAATATTGAAGCAGTTTACAAATCACTCCATACTCCACACTGTTAAAGGTCTTTCCAACGAGACTGGGGTAGGAATTCGACTTCCATTCTACGCTGTGTCCCATAATGATGATGATGGTATGTGGGGATGCAATTTAATATGTATGTGATCAGGGAGAACCCTCGCATCCAGAGTATCTTTTATTCTCTCCAGAATGATGCAATCAATTGTTTTGCTCGGTATGAAGAGGAGATTGATTCATTGACAGTTTTCACAAAAGCCGAAGTCACGCCTTGTTTTTGTAGTTTGACGAGAATCCATTCTATTTTTTTATTATAGCTTGAAACCACATAGTATTTTTGGTACAAGTATGGAATTTTCAGCATGTGATATCGGTAGCCAAAATTTTGCAGGCCGACCATTGATATCAGGTGTGCGTTGGTAAGGGATCAAATCCCGGACCATGTGCAAGATTGGTAAGAGTCAGAACCACTGTGCCACCGGAAGAATTCTGTCTGGTGCTGCCACCTTTCCGACTGGCTCTCAGTAGCTTTGTTGCATTGAAGACTACTGATTTTGTTGGGTCGTTGGTATTCATTGACACACCTGTGACTTTTGGTGGTGTTTGTGGACGTTTTGTTGTTATTGTTGTTAGTGAGGGTGACGGTGGTCGGTTTAGGAATCGTTTGAGTTGATCGACTCAGCGTTCTCTTCGTTCCACTTCTCCGGTAGTGATATTCCATTGACTATCTTTCTCTGGCTTTGTCTGTGTTAATTTCCGCGTGTATGGAGATTTAGTTGTCTGGTGTAGTTTTCTGAGGTCCCGCTCACCTGTAGTCTATTCCACTTCAGTTGTCAGTGTGTCGTGGAATCGGCTGCATACGTTCGTTTGGCTATTCTTCACGACTTTGTTTTGTGTGTTGTAGATTGAACTACGGTTCTGCTTCCGTTGTCCATCATTTGACTGTCCCATTTTTACTTGTTTAGACACGTCTCTGTTCCCTGTTAGCTTCGACGTGTGGTTGGTCAGCTATTTCCCGTCTTACATCTTTTTCTTCGCAAGGCGGCTAGGTAGGTTTCTTTCGGGATAACTTTCATAGAGTTTTCGTGTTTTTGCACATTGGTTTGGTTTGTGGTTTTAATTAATGTTTCCGACTTTGTTGTGATGGCTGCAGTGAATGTGTCTGTATACTTGCGTCCTTCTGTTTTTCGGTGTTGAATCTAAACTGTGGTATATCTTCAGCTTGTCTTAAGGCTTACAAAACCGATAGGAGCTAAATATATTTTAGTAGTGGTTCCATTTAGACTTGAGATGCTTCAGCAATGTAACCATACGACTTTAAAATGAGAATCATTAATGTCCAGCAACTTCGTACAAAATGATAAAACCACGATTTCGACACCTATCACAATAACCACCTCACAAAGGACAAAACCCACCCTTGTGTCAATCTAAAATGGCACAGGTTCACCGCTTGTTAGTGCTTAGGTTTGAGGTTTGTTTGTTGCTTTCCTGATGATAAGTCGTGAAATGTTGGTTCTAATGAACCAAATATTATCAAAATCCGTCCTCAGCACGAGGCACTGATAGGGTTTCATCAAGACGGAAGGGATTTGAAAAATCAGTAGTTCAACACTGAGTTGTTAGACTGGTTTAATTGGCAGTTCCATGCATGATTGTTCATCAGGTCGTTGAAGAAATTTGAACCAGACAACGGAACCCATAATCATTGGTGATGTTTTTTTAAGATTAACCTAGTTTCTGTTTATTCACTGTTAAGTTTACCTTGCGACTAGTGTTGATAAATTTAAATTTGAAAAAAATTAACAAATAAAGTGAACTGTAGGTGCTTCATTTTTGTTACCTAAAGATGTATGCATAATTTACAATAAATTTGGATAAATTCTTTATTAATTGGTTACAAATGGAAAATTCGTGAAGCCACATACTTTGAACTGCTTCTCCTGGGATGCTAGTTGATACAGTTCATTCCTTAAAATGAATGCAGTTGCCACTGGATCAGATGTAGTCAAAGCCAAATAAGCTGAACTTGATAAGGCCTGATAGGTGTGCAGACGCTGTTGCTCCAGTATGAGTGAATCCTTTAAAATGAACAAGAAACAAAATATCACTGTATATATAATTTTCATTAGGTTCTGCGATTTGTGAACTCAATACTATTCATCAGTAAAGAAAGAAAGACCGAATTTGGTACCATCCTATTTCATAGGTTCTCATCAGCTGCGAACTACCTGAAATTACAATTATTATAAATATTGACTAACATGCTTCAACGTTTGATTACTATTAAAGAAAGCACCATAAAAACACAACTCATCTAAAATATAAGCATTACAACTTTCTATTTAAGTTACTGTCAATTTATATGCTTTCAAAATAGAAAATAAGGGAGGCAGAGAAGACAGAAAACAGAAAATTCTAATAAACAGTGTTAGGTAGTAAGTTCATATAGCAACTCAAGAAGGCTATATTACATAGGATTAAAAAACTGACTGAATGAGCTGAAATCACCAATATGGATGACTAATCAGTGTAATCAAGGTACAGTTACCAAGGGAGGGAGAGATTGATTACACTGTCTTTCTGTATGCATAAGTTTGGTCTGAAACGCTTGATTGCAACTGATGTCCTTTGTATGTTCATTATTTCTAAGTATTTGGAAATCTCGACGAAATGACCCGTATCCACAAGGTGTTTGGTGATGTCGCTGTACAAATATCTTCTTCCTTTTAGATATAAGGTTCTTGGGATGTGCTCTGAAAATCAAATAGAAGCCTTTCTGTCTGTCATTCCAATGTACTTGCTCCCGCAAGTGCACGTAAATTTCATGAACTCTAGTCTTCTTGAGTTATTAAAAAGACGGTTGCAGAGAAGGAAATTTTCTTTTCGATGAAGTCATCATCTAGGCTGTACATTCGTGTATTTATATTACATATGTGGGAAATTTCCGGAATTATTTCCGGTCAGAGGTCAGATTAATAAGATTATTAAGTGTAATAAACATAAGATAGGTAGTGGCGCTATTCTAGAAATATTTCAGACCAAAGGTCAAATTGAAAATTACAATGTGTAATAATCAAGAAGATTGGGTAGAAAAGACAAAATAGAATTATAATTACTAGAAAACTATTCAGTTTGTATAATTACGGGTTAAGGATGTAGTATTAACGAAATGGGTAGCACGTTCGGACATATAAAAATAAAAACAGCAACCAAATCCAATAATGCAGATAGGGATTTAAAAGGTAAGTATGGTAAATAAACGGGAAAGTTGGACAAGAAAGTTAATAGGATAATCATTATTGGTGAGGATGACTTTTCATAATGGCCACAATAGGGAAAACAGTTGCACTGGACATATTTCTTTTGCACACATAGAGTAGTGGGCTTGAGTTTTTGGACCGCTAGTGCCTCAGCTATTCCTAGATGTCTTGATTTCACTCCCTTTGGTAGGTTGGATCGGATCTTATATACAGCTCTGAAGGACTTTTCAAACGGCGCTGAATGTCCAGAATTCACCAGATTCTCTGTTATCGAACTGTGTACCTTTTTGCGTTCTCTCCCTTTGCTAGCCATGCTGGATAGTGTTCCCGCGCGCATTTTACAAGCGGGCACATGGTACGGCCAATGTACTCAGCTCCATACGCGCGAGTGAACTTGTATATGCATTCTGAAGTGGCTCAATGCGACAGCTTGTCTTTCGCGTGTTGGGTGAGTGGTTTTTCGCAGGAGAATGTTATTCGTGGACTGGTGGCTAGTATGTTTTACTGGGAGACTTCGAAAGCCGTCTACGGAGAATTTCTGCTTCGGTATCACTTTTAAATTCGAGGTTCAATTTTAGCATCTTTTTAGAGGCGAACTGGACCTTTTCAGGTGTTTTCCTTGGTTTCAGATTCTTGTCTATGAATCTAGGGTGGGAACCCATCTTCTATCAAAGTCCCTCAAAGATTTTGAGTTGCTATGTGAACTTACCACCTGACACTGTTTATTAGAATTTTCTGTTTTCTGTTTTCTCTGCCTACCTCCTATCTATTTTAAAAGCATATAAATTGATGGTAAATTAAGCCACAAATTGCAATGCTTATATTTTGGGTGAGTTTTGTTCCATGGTATTTCTCTACTGTCTTTCCAACATTGAAGTCTGTTACTGTCATTATTTATGACTACTGTAATTTCAAGTAGTTCGCGGTTGATGAGAACCTGTGAAATAGAATGATATCACATTTTATGCTACAAATGTGGTCTTCCTTTCTTCATCGAAATTTATCAAGGCAACCAAATGTATTAAATTCGTGATCATTTCTGAGAATATTTTCTGCATAAGTGGATTGTTTTTTTGATTTCATTAAGTTGTGTGAGTATGATAGTGAGTGTGAACGGCAACTTACTAGTATTTAAATCTATTGGTAATAGCTACTCGATGAATTTATTAGTGAATTCTCACTGAAGATGATATCTGATTGAAGACCGAAACCGAAGCTCGCAGGAGACTTGTGTCAAAATATTTACTTATTGGGGTGAGATGGCTGGTGGTTATTTCATTACTTACACTCAAAATATTACAATCTAACGACATTCTGTTATGCCAATCTTTTAAATACGTTGAAATAAGACAAGCAAAAAACTTAAGTGAAAGTTTTGCTGCTAACTGACACAAAAACACCTGCATCATACTACAGTGCATTGAAGTATTGTGTCTTTTCTGGAGCAATTGGTTAAAGCTGATCAGAGCTAAGAATTATCAAAGCATATTTAGCAGCATCCGGTGGCTGATGTGAGCACGTGATCATTGCTTCGCGAGGTGTAATTCGTTATTTATCACAATATTAGTGGTGCAGTGTTATAACACTATTATATTTATAGACACAGGCGCAATGAATACCAACCATATAACTGCTTATTGAACACACCCATTCTCTTGTGTGCACCATCGAAAATTTCACCAGATAATCAGTTAGCGTAAGATATATCGGCTTTTCGGTCCAAAAGATTTTGTTTTCACGAACTAATTTTTCAGATTAGGTTATCAAAACAGTAGCATTTTTGTTGCACAGTAGTGCCTTTCTCAGATATACGAAAATGAATTCCTTTTAGCCGTCTAAAATACTACCGAGTAACTGTATAAAATGAAGTCTTCTCTGGTATACTCTTCTGATAAAATTTCATAAACTTATTATGGGAGATTCAGATCTCGTCTGTGCTTGCATCTCTAGTATTATATTTTTTTTGTTTTATCCCTTCACGTTCCCAGTGGAACATAGGGCTTCAAGGTACAGGCTTGAAGTTTCTGTAGCAGTGTCTTATTTTTACAGGATGGAGTTGCTAGCCTCATACCCAACCTTTCCTCTTTACCAGTCTTATTACTGGCTTCGTGAGGTAAAGGGGTGCGTCGGCCGCGGATCGAATCCCGGACCTTGTGCATGGTCGGTGAGCATCCTAACCGCTGTGCCACCGACGCGAAGCTTGTATTATATGGAAGAACAGAAAATAGTAATGATTATTTGTGAATGGATCATATTGCACAGTTGATCAAATGTTTTATGCAAACGAACTACAGAGAATTAAGTCCTTATATTCCTATAAATAATACATAACTCAAAACTTTGTGATTTACATTATCTAGTGAGAGGAATTTTGAGAGATTGTTTCAGTCACAGTAAATTTAAGAGAACATAATATTTTCAGAAATGTGTATTGTCCGTTGTATATTTGCCTCAGTTAGACTAGGTCGTACAGTGTTGATTTATAGTGAATTCATCAGACTTTGTAGAAAAGAAAGCGGATAATTGTATTCTCAGTAATATCTCTGCATTGGATAGACATCAGTGCTATTTCATGGAGAGATTAATAAATGATAAATTAATTTCATCCGACAAACAAGGTTAGGCAAGCAGGTATATGTATGTATCCACTGATTACAACTTTAAAAAAGTATATTAAATCACTTTCCCCACTCTATACATTTGATATATATATTCATATAATGCTGTTTAATTATTAATTAGTAATATTTATTGTCATTTGTCTAGAAATCTGTTTCATTATAATAAATGAGAAGACAAAGATCGATAATCTCAGTGACTCTGTCCATTACAACTTTTACCTCATAAAGGCTAAATGAAGTGATTAGTTGAAATGCCAGTGATGACACTTCTCACAGAGTTCAACAGTCAGTAGATTATATAAAACTTTGCAAGATAGTTTAATGAAGATTAATAAAAGGAAATATGAGATAGCTGGAGTATACCATTTGAAAGATGACTGCTTCCATCGTCGATGTTCTTGCTGCATATTAATAAACTAAGATGGAGTTGTAAGGAGACAGTTTTATAACAATTAAGATACCTGAGATAGTCGTTGGTGATTTTAATGAAACTGAAACTTGATCAGTAGCTGAGTTTTCTGACTCAGCCTGTTTGTCTAAAAGGCTGAGAATGCCAGCCCTTGTAAGACTTTGGCTTTTAACTCCCATAAATTAGGAACATTTAAGTGAATAAATGCATAACTTTTATTTCATTTACCCTCACCATGTGTCTTTCAGCTTCTTTACAAATAGACTTCGTAAAGACAGTCAGTGATTTTTCAATCTGAACTGATGAAAATTGGTGCAAAATCAATTCCATAGACTGAGAGTTAGTGTTTTGAGTTGACACATAGCGGCTGTCTAATTAAAATAAATGCTGTCATCGTAGCCGAAAAATGAAACGGTTTGTTTAACTAGTCTTGATTTTGTTAGATTTCTTTGCAGCTAAACATCACAAGTCATTTTTAGTACATATAAGGCGGTATATTGATATCTGGTAACAGCCAGTAGCTATAGAAACTATGCAATATGTCACATTTGAGTAGCTACAGAGTTTAACTCATTCACTATTGCATATATATATTCTGTTAAAAAACTTCAGGAAAACATAATTGAATGAATACCTAATTTTATTGGCGTTTAGGCACGATATTTAGCATAGTAAAGAAGAAGAACTGTTGATTGAAGCTGGTATCATCAAATAAATAAGTATTCATGCAGTCGATACTGTTATGTACTGCATAGATTATCAATAAGAATCTGGAAGGGAGAGTAATA